ATCTATTCCTTTCAAGATCTTATTAGAAGGACATTTCAGTCGAACGGCTTTTCCGGTTGTTTCATTTAACAGACGGTAGAGTAAAGTGCAGTAAAATAGTTAATTGGAATTTTAGGTACAATTACGGTTTTGTTCTTTTTACTTTAACACAGGATAAAAAATTGCGTGCAAAATTACCTGGATAATTCCCACCCCTTGACTTAAAAGCAATAAATTTACAGACAGCATTTTATATATTCTGTCGCGATTCTTATTTTCAAAACACTTTATGAAATGTCCTTTCTGATTGTGTGTTCGTCTATATTTAGGACATCAGTCATTGTACATATGATCTGTTTAGAAAGAATTGCCCCTTCTCTCGCAAATCTCGAATATTATCTTTAGTAATAGTCGCATTACTCTTCTAGGGATATATTCAGTGAAATCGTTGCTTCGTTTCTGCTCAAGAATATGATATTATGCCTTATGTAAGCTTAATAAAACTGGCATGCTGTAGTTTCGTTGAACATTAGTCTCTAGTAAGGGAATTTCGGCACACCGCTCCTAAATGTCTTCTCACATTCGTGCAGGTATATTAAAGGTACATAAAAATATTTTTTTGACTCAACCATATTTGGTGGCCTATTGAGGTCAAAGTACTTCATCGTGGAACACGAAAGAGCCAACGTTTTCATAACGAAACTATATCGCTCATGGTGATGGGCAAAATTTTTGCATTCCTGGAACCACTGCCTTTTCGTTAAGTTCTTTCGGCTTTCTCTGTGCCTTCTAAAGTTGAATTAGAAGACTTTCTCTCGTTAAAAAATGTTTCGAATTTTTTATGTGTCTAATTCAACTTCCACCAACCTCTAATTGGATTATGCTGTTAAGTAAATATATCATGTGCGGTGTCTTTGACATTTCGAATCCTATTCGAGCCATCTTCAGAGGAAGAAATCAGACTAGGCAAATATTGTCATCTCCTATGAGACTTCAGCCATTTTTGCTTCCTTTCGTGAATTAGATAAGCCTACTTTTCTGTAACTCATCAATCAGTTGTTGGGGTTGTATGACTTGGCAAGCAAATGGCGTGAAAATGCCTTCTTCAATTCTGCTGCCTTATGTTCAGTCCTCAACGAACCTTCAAGCATTTTTTAATCTAGTGCTTGGATAAAGTTTGCGTTTTCAGATGGTCTTTAATTAGTCCGATGCGCACTGCGAGATCAGCGGCAGGTGCAGCCGCACTCGACCACCAGGTCTTCATTGTCGGTAAGTGTCTGATCTCCAGGTATGCAGCGGCCTCTTTGACGTTTTGCAGTTTAGGTGGACATGATTGCACCTGCGTATTCAATTCCTGTGAATGTTACAGGGTCGCCGAAGGCACTTGGACGTTCATCAAGCAGATGCAGAGTCGTCGTTGTCGGCTGGGCGCAGCAGCCTTAAATGGAAAAGTGTAAGATGCTGCGTTTGGGAACGTGCCGGATTTGAATTTTTGTCTGATTCGTGAACATTGACACTTTTATACCATTTTGATGTCACCTTCTTCCAAACGTACTCATACACATGCCGAAACACTTTCATGTTAAAACAAAGTGTCCAGTGCTAGATGTCCAAAGGTGTGATATTCTATCAGAATATGATTGTAAGCGCATCATTTTTTCAAACGGCGTATGGATCTTTCCCTCTGTTCATAAATGCGTCAAGGTCACCATTTCTGCAAGCTGATACCTCATTGCATCTGAGCACTTGTCGAGTCATATGCCATTAATTTCACATTCTAGTGCATTCGCGGTTATGAACGTACTGCGACATTCGTTTTATTTTGTGAAAACCATTTTTTGGACCGTTATCAGTGGAGATCAAGGTATTTGTGCATCTTAACCAATAAGATGCATCTAGCACTAAGGCACACAAATGATGCGAAAGTTTTGCATATTGAAATAACTGTTTTGGCCACTGTTAAGAAGTGACACTTCCGTACCCAGTTTGGATGAGTTTTGTGCTTGTAAAAGGATGATACAGTGTACCATAAAGTATTTATGGGTCGTGTAGATAAGTTGGAGGTGCTTGAATGCTGGTTGATGAGGACCTTGTTTTTTGTGAAGTCCGAAAGTTTGAGCTTTCAATGCCTGCAGTTCGTTTAAACAATGCGTTGTTTGAGGCGTATGCTTTTGGACTCATTTAATTCAAAGGGGATTTTTATTTTGTTCCCCAGTTACTGTCGTGAAACTGGCTTATCTGCGTTACTTACTTTGCCTGATTTTCCGTTGACTGAGTGGTCCATTTTTTACTTCGATATGATTTCATGTGATATCCTAGCTGTTTTAGAATGTAGAAATTTTGTATTTAAGGTTACTAGTGACCTTAAGGTACTTTGAATTAGAAGTGTATGGCCCTGAATTCTGCCCATGTATTATCTTTGCTAGAGAGTCACTTGTTAGAAAGTCATCATTCTCATCATTGTGATTCCCTGATACGTTTCTTTCCATGTTCAGACGTGGGTTACTCGGTCGAAAGAGCGTCAGACTCAGAACCGTGATATCTCGGGTTTAAGCCGCGATTAGATGACTTGCTTTTCTTCCTTCCTAGGTAAATAAAAGAGTGCCATCTCATGGGAAGGAAAAAGAAATTGCACGCTATGCTTGCTGCATAGCTGCTGTCGACTCTGCGTTTAAAATAAGGCACTTCTGACTGACGGCATAAAGACTTAGATCGGCTTTACATCATAGGCATTTTGAAAAGGACGGACGTAAGAAATTGCCACACCATTAAAATGTAAATGACACTGACGTCCCAACTGTTTCAAACTTTACTCCTTTCCTCGCTTCGTTGCTTTTCATGACTGCCAACGCATAGTTTCTGATTTTTTTGTTTTACCTGTTGATCATCAGGCACATTCTGTGAAAAAAACTTTTGGTAGATATTATTCGTAAAATCGAATCGCTCCACTGTTTCAAAAAACTGAACGTTGTGCAACTCTTCCTTGTTTCTTATAGTTATTTTTCTGATCTGATCTGTAAATTTCAGATACGTTGCCGGTGGCTACGACGGAGCTCATTTTCTGAACTCTGCGGAATGCTATGAACCAGCCAGGAATGAATGGTTTGCGATCAGCAACCTGAAAGTCAATCGTAGTCGTGTGGCGCTCGTATCGACACGCGGGAAGCTGTATGCAATTGGTACGTAATGCCGTAAATATGATTTAAAACCAAGTGCGATTTTGTTGTCTCACGGACCTTATGATGCAAATGTTTCTAAATTTACTTGATAAGATCTGTAACAGTTTTGATGTTAGGTCAAGATTCAGTGGCTATGAATACGCTAGAATGTCCGTTGTTTCAGGTGCCAAGTTTACAGCGAGTTTTGACCCTACTGTAGTGACGATTTCTTTTTATTGGTTATGTGACGTCACAGATTTTTCTCTAAACTAAAGTCTTGAAATGTTATCTATTTTTCCCTCTCTCTAGCCACCTCGTTTGGTCGATGCTGTCATACAAGATCAATATGAGTTTTTGACACGTTTAATTTCATGATGGATAATGTATAACTCTTCCAAGACCGGATTTAACGTTGTATGGTTTCGCCCCCTTGCTCCTAATTGCTCGTGTTTGTGTGTGTGTGTTGGGGGGAGGGATGAATTTAAGCGGTGCAGCTGCAGCTCCATGGTATTTTTTAGCAACTGCAGTGCCAGATGCATCTCGCATCATTTCGTTCGCTGCAGTCACCTCACCTTCATCAAGAACGATGTTTCAGAAGCTGCAACTCCTTATATACTTTCCCATAAACGTCAAAATATTTTCGTGCGAATAAGAGTTAATCAAATATCGCATATCTCCTGCAAGATCAGATTTAATTTCATGCTAATTAATGTCAACTAATTTAGCCAATAATGGAACAGTTTAAGGCCTTTTCCTGGTCTTATTATCCTTGTTTTGCACTGTTTTTGCTATTGAGTAATGCACACATTAGTCTATTATTATTGTTACGTAACTTAATTTGATATCGTCATTATTTTCGTTTTCTGTTAGGTGGTTATGATGGGCTGACCAATCTGAAGAGTGTCGAAGTGTACGATCCTGCAACGGATAGCTGGCAGTTTGGACCATCGCTCCATTTCCTTGATGGAGGTCTGGCAGTTGCGGCGGCGCCAATCGTGACATTTTCAGATTAGCTATGAGGTGATATATGAACGCATGTTTCCTCATAACTTGCTTATAATATTGCAGCCGGACAGCGTGTTGCTTAAAAAAGAGAACAGATGCAGCGGTAGAATTAATTAATTTTTCTACGCTTGCACATGGTGATTCGGCAACGTAGACGCGTCATTTTACACTGGTATTTGGTGTTTCCTCATCGTTCATTTAAAAGCCAATTCGTCCTCTGGTGTTTTGTACGCGTCACATTAGTTTTCAATCTCCAGCCATGCGTTTTTCCCTCTGCGGTGTTGTCTTTTAGCGGCATTCTCTTTTTATCGTTTTACGGAACGTATGCGCCTCTGTTCTTCGCTCTCACCAACTCGCTTCCGATCTTTTTTTCTGAACTCAAATCCTGATCATGCTGGATGTCTGTTTTGTCCAATTAGCTCTAACTGCCAGTTGTACTTTCATTTTTTGCGCAAATTATTTTAATTATACCTACAGATATTCTCGGTTTTAGCAAAGAACAGCCATACGTTATCAACATAATTTTAGTTATCAGAAATAATGGCATTAGGACACAATTCCTGTGTTTTTAGATGTGTGATAGGTCAGATTTCAGGGTATTTAATCACCTGCAGACAGTGGTTCATTGGCGATGCACAGTGTTTTGAGGATTGCATGTAATCGAAAATTATTTAACTCTACTTCTAGTTATATAAATGTGCTATAATAATTCGACTGGGCAAATATCAGTGTCAGTCTTAAACTGGTAAAACAGCGATAATGAAAGTTATTGATTAAAGGGGTGAGTTGACCAGCAAGTTCTGTATTATATAGCTGTTTATTATTTGAAACTTAATTCTGATAGACATTTTAAATATGGAACAAATTATTGGAAAAGCTATAATAACGAAACGTTGTGCTGCAGCACAAAGAGAATGTTATTCAAGTGCAGAAGTGGATCTCCTAGTTAAGATGTTCTGGTGTTCCTTTAGATGAGTTTTTAATTCGCTCTTTTTTATTCCTTTGCAGTATCGGAGGTGGTCCTGACATGGTATTTTATGAACCACTCAACTTTTTAATTCACGTGGTTCGTTTTGGAATTTGTGTAGAGCATTTTATTCAGCATAGACCCTTTTAATAACAGTATAGAACATGGTTTATTTATACACAGCACAGAAACATGGCCATTCAGGTGATTAACGAATACCAATGTTTCGACTGTTTCTCTGGTTCTTTTGTCGTTCGCAACCTTTCTGTCGTTTGGAGAAGTTAGAAGGGACTTTTGTTACCCACAACCCTAACTCTCTGTCATCGCTGACATTGTCATATGACCGGATGATTAATGCATCTTTTACTCGCCTGTTCAGCCCATACCTGCCGTTGATGACGCCGGTAAACTCTGACTATCGAGGGAGGTTTCTTTCCTGTGCTGCGTGATGCACAATCACAGAAGTTTTTTTCCGCGTTATTCCTTGACTTCACCGATAGCAAGGGAATTTTCTTTTGGGTGCTTCGTTATCACAGGTTGCTCTGCTCGTTCGCATTCATTTATCTTTTCCAATTTGGCAAGTGAGTCTTTGTTGTTTCGGTGGCGGTTCTTTGTTTTCCTTGTGTAACATTTCCTCAGTTGCGTGGTAAGTTATAAAGACAGTCAAGCGAATTATTATTCACACAAGTACTTAATAAATAGTAACATTAAACTTACTATTAATTAACATTTGAAGCTTTTCGCTAAAGTTTTTATGATGCGGGATACTTACGCACAGTTTATTATTTACTTTTTTAGATTTTGTTACTACATGCTGGCTTGAAGTACGTTGTTGTAGTATTTATGATATCATTAACGAATTTAACCTGATAATTATCTTTATCACAAGTTTAATTTAATATATCTTATTTCTGATGCAAGCAATTCATTATTGTAGAGATTCAGGACTCTGTCTATTAAAGCTGTAATGGCAGATCCTTTGTTGTTTGAATGACTAAGTTAAAGTTGAGATATTATCAGTGTTAGTATGTTTACAATAAATTTTACTGTTGTAGCAATTGCTAGACGTTAGTTATTAAGATACCAAGACATGACAGATTTGTATTATTTCATCTTTGAATGGGACTCAATATTTTTTTGAAGGAAGATGCTATAAAGAACTTCTAGTACTCTATTTTCATCAGCACTTGTGCAGACGTCAAATATTGCATAAATAAGCTGCGCTTTATTTGTTTTCATTTTTCACCAGCGCAATAACGAAATACCTTATCTTCTGTTTTCTTTTTGTAGATTATGTCTAGGATTTAATTTTTCAAATATGTCAAGTAATATCATAATAAAACAAATATGGATCGTTATTCACCCTTCTTCTGGGATTCACGAATGTTTCAGGTGGTGAATTCTTTTTGAATAAGTGTTGTTCAGTAGCCAATTCATGCATCATGTCATTTTTCGTTATTCCCCATGTTGTATTGACTGTGACTTGCGTCGTTCTCACATTGTTGACAGTGCTGCTAAAAACTGAAGATTTTGCAAATTATTTAGTGAAGGTACCGGCTAGACTGTTGCTGTTTATGATGAGTGAAAAGCAACAAGCTACTGACAGCAAGATTTATATAAAGTGAGTTTCTCGGCTTGACTCATTTAAGCATGTAAACTCACTTGGTGGGATCAGGATTGTTCAATCGGTAAAGCGTCAGATTCTGAACCAAGAAGTCCTGGGTTCTGTGCGCCGTTGGGGTCTATCGCTGTTCTTCATTTTCAGGTGGATAAATTAGTGCTACCCTATTTAAGAAAGGCAACAGATTACACACTATGCTTGACGCAGCTGCTGTATGGTGTTTTTAAAATAAGACATTCTTGGCTGATGGCATGGAAATAGAGAGCATTACACAACCATTAACTTCATTAAAAGAGGGGCCCCAAAACTTCTCCGTCATGTAGGTGTAAGAAATATTGATTCTCAATCATTTGCAAATATTCCTTCATTCCATTCGTCTAGAACCTCGAAAGTCGCTTTTGAAGTCCAACAGATCAGTGGTTCTCTTTCTTCATTTTTAATCATGCAAATATAATGTATTTAA